AGCGATGCCCTTTGTTCCTAGTAGTAAGGCCAGGAGCCCCTAGTAGCGTCTAGCGATGCCCTTTGTTCCTAGTAGTAAGGCCAGGAGCCCCTAGGAGCAAGGATGCTACTGCGAAGGTGAAGCCCTTGTAAAGCGGCGAGAGTGCTTCCGCGAACAATCTTACAAGAGTGTTTGTTCGTGTCGAAAACGAGCCTTTCCTTCGAGATCTCTAAAAGTTAGATGGGTATTTTTACGTGCGGAGGACGCAACTAGGAGCAAGCGCGCTACTAGGGGCTCCTGGCATCGCTACTATGGCTGAGCGGAAACCTCAATGGGTCAGCGATGCGCACTTTCACCAAACGTCGCAGCCTCCACACCGTGCGATGCGCGACCCGATTGAAGTGACACAAACACACAGCTTCGCAGCACACCCTGGAGCCAATCCCAATGGCACGGCGAGATTCAAGACCTTCCAAAGACCCAGGTGGGAACGCAAATCCCCAAGGCCAGCGATGCACTCTACCAAACGTGCACCTGCGCAGCAAAATGACGCCCCGCACTGAGAGAACTCTTTCTATGCTTCACGCGAATCGGACACTGGAGCTTCAACCAATGTGAAGGTCAAACTTGAACACGCCCGGACTCCAGAGTCAAATGAGAAGCCTTCGCCATGCATTCGGGAAGTTTCAATAGGCTGCGAATCGAGCGGATGAGAGCCATAGGACACCTCGAACACATCTGATTCTTTGTCCGCTTCCCTTCAAGTTTGGAGGCCATGTTGGGAGACCTGCCGATTGGTGTGCATAGCCTGTGCTCACCAACTGTCACTGCCCAGCAGATTCCGATGGATGATTTGCCCGCCATGCTGTGGAGGACCGCTCAGTTGTTCATGCTTGGAGGTGTCAGTCAACAATTTCATAACCTGATATTAGCAAGAAGCTACTAGTAACAAGTGCATCGCTACTAGGAGCAAGTGCCTTACTAGTAGTAACAAGGACGCTACTAGTAGCAAAGAAGCTACTAGCGCTTTGTTCTTTTGACAAAGTTCCCAACAGAATGCAGTTTGGGTTTCAATCTCTGGGGGATGGTGCACAGTTTGGTACCCGAAATCCGGAATTCCGTGATCTTGGGTGCTTCTTTGCTACTAGTAACAAGTCCCACGCTAGTAGTAACAAGTGCCTTACTAGTAGTAACAAGAAGCTAGTAGAATTAAACTTAAAATTAAATTAACAAAGCTTGTTACTACTAGTAAGGCACTTGTTTCTACTAGCGTGGCACTTGTTACTACTAGCTTCTTGTTACTACTAGTAAGGCACTTGCTCCTAGTAGCGATGCACTTGTTACTAGTAGCTTAGGTGCTGTGATCTTAGGTGCTGTGTTGGAACCCTTGCTTGGAACCTAGGGTGCTGTCAGGTGCCACCCTGCAACCTGGGAATGCTGGGTGCTGCCATCTTGCAAGCCTCCAACCAATTTCCTCCCTAGTTAATTCTGGTTTCTAATAGCTTCTTGTTACTACTAGTAAGGCGCTTGTTACTAGAAGCGATGCACTTGTTCCTAGTAGGACGTTTCTGCAACAGCTTTTGCACTTATGGCGTGCCTTCTGCAATCCGTCCGAAGCGATCTTTTTTCGCAGCACAAGGCATGTTGTACGGGCAGCAGTTGCGTGTACCGAGCAGGATGTTTCTGCGCCGGCAACAGTTTTTGCACTTGCCTTATTGCAGAGCATTCAAAACATGTGCTATGCGAAAAAAACCGCAGGCAGCTGCGTGGGCCTTGTGTCCGTTGTGAAGCATTCTTTCAAATTTTACGCGCAGCAAGGCCACAGGCAGATGTACGTACCTAGCAGGACGCACCTGCGGTGTGCTTTCTGTCTCCGTTGATTCATTCTTGATGCGCAGCACTACTTAGGACCAACGGTGTGGGAGGTGTTTGCGCGCACGCAGCAACACGCATTTGTGACGGCTTTTCTCCTTCCTGCTCCCCAGCCCTCTTTACATTTTCACAATGGGTCTGGGTTCGGTTTGGGAGCTTTAGCTACACAGTTGGAGAGCTTGACAAGACCCAGTCAACTGAGTTGCTACCTGCTGTTGGGTTGCGAAGCTGGGTTAGTTTTGGTCGATAACTGCTGGAAGCCAGCCCGAGTGGAAACTGTTCAAGACCGAAAGCAGACCCTGGAAGGATTCATTCAAAGGACCACGAAGAAGCTGGCCATCGCCTAAGAAAGTCCGTGATTGACTGTTGGGGTAGAGGTGCTATTGGCAAGGACCGGGGTGAAAGACTAAGTGTGGTTGATGTTGAAAGTAAGTTTTTGTGTTACACTATTCTACACGATGGGTTTGGAGTCTGTTTTGTTTAAGCCGCAAGGTGGACATGATGCATCTATTCAACACAAACCGGGCCCAAACAGCAAGCTACATGGGGCGGGTGTTGGTGCCCATTCCTGATGGCATGTCTGCTTGGGGCAACAATGCCTGGCAACAGTTGTCGCTACATGCGTCGCTCGACAGCTATGACTTGCGTGCGTTGGTTCACGATTCTCATGCTGTTGATGAATATTAGATAATATTAGATTAGATGTGTATCAGAGTTTCTTCATGAATTCAGGAATCCTAAAAACTAACAGACGCAATTTGTTCCTAGTACTAGTAAGGTACTATTAACGTGTGTAGAGTTCTGTTCCAATGGGCAGTTCGTGTCTCCAAGCGTTGTTTTGGAGTAACATTCAGATCTGCGGCGCTCAAGTGCTGCTGGGCACCTTTGAACTCACCAAATCGGCCGATTCACCCTTCTTCACTGCGTGGCCGTTGCCGATGCCAAATGGCATCCGGATAAGCTGCGAAGAACGCACTCTTTCCGGCTTAGCAGGTGCCAACATCCGTCCACCTCGAAGAATGTGTTTGCCATCTGTATTCTTGTTCCTAGTAGCTACTTGCTCCTAGTAGCGATGCCAGGAGCCCCTAGAAACGTCCTTGCTC